GTGTCGGGCAAGACTTGGGGCGCCAGTGGCTGCATCGGGTCACGGGTCACCCCCTGAACCACGAGGCCCCTCTGATGCAACAGAAACATCCAGGGCCCACATTCGGCCCTCCGGGGGCCAGAAGGGACACCTGTCCTGAGCCAGCCCTGGACGCCCAGACGTAAGGGGACAAAGGAATTGCCCATGGCCAGCACGTCCATCCTAGCACCCAGGAAGGGGGGATGTGTGGTCCAGAAGGGAAGAGCGCCACTTAGATCTCCTGGGCAAGGCTGGCCCACGGCCCGAGGGTCACCCACGGGGACCTGGCTGCACAGTAGGAAGGAGAGATACCTTTCTTCAGACCCAAGATCCACATGGTGTCCAGGGCGTCGATCAGCGTGAGGCCGAGGCCGAACCACTCACTGAAGGACCTGGACACGGGCCTCAGCTCGTCATGGCCCCAGGCGAACTTGCGGTACCCGGCCCACGCATGGCGGAAGGCGTCGATCACGGCCTTCTGGCGCTCCTTGGGGGAGGCTGGGGGGTAAGCCAGCTGTGAGGACCAGTCAGCACTGAGACCAGCTGCTCTGTGGTCCCACAGCGAGCGATGCAGATGGGGGGACACTGTCCAGGCCACAGGAAGCAGAGGACCGCAGAGAAGGCCAGGACGCTCAGTGCCGGACCTGGCCGCCAAGCCCGGCTGTCCACCTGCACCAGGGGCCTGGCAGGTGTGACCCTCCGGGGCGCCGGGACACTCAAGGAGCAAAGGTAACCGAGGCCCCAGAAGCAAGGCAGCTGCGCTGCGCAAAGTGGCTGTGGGGACGTCCAACGTGACAGGGGCCGGTGACCCGGACGAGAACACCTGACGAGCATCCCTCCCGGGGCTGCAGGGCTGGACACGGGACGACAGACCGTCCAGGACCCACGTGTCCTCACTAGCGCTCTAGTGCGTGCCTGGCCCCCGACGCCGGGCCCCCGGGGTGTCCCAGGCTGCGCAGCGCCCGGAGGCACAGCAGGAGCTGCACCGCCCGCCCCGCGGCGCCTCTGCGTGTCCACACCCCATCTCTGTCCAGATGCCCAGGTGAGGCCCGGGAGGGCGCAGGCGGGACCTTACCTGCCGGGTTCTGAATCCCGAGGGCCTGTGGGGAAGGCCTAGGGGGGCCCTCTGCCTTCCTAGAAGGGAGCTCGCTGCCCTGCTCCGGCTCCATCACTGCTCCCCTCCAGCTAGGAGGAGAGAAGGAAAAGCATTCAGAGCAGCTCAGGGGGGCAAATGCCCCGCGGTCGCTGCCCAACTCAGGCTCGGACGTGCCCTCCACGCGGCAGGACCACGAGGAGGCGGGGCCCTGCCTCACCAGGCGCAGACTGTCTGCCTCAAAGGAGAACACACGGCAAACATCATGGGAGTTCTCCTTGTTTTTCGGAAAAGAAAACAGCAAAGAGACCAGCCTCCTGGTTGCTCACGTTCAGACCCGTCTGCCCGCGTACCTGATGGTTCTCTGCCCCTTTTCGTCCACCGCGTCTGCCCTCCTCTCGGCCTCATCCTGCCCCCTGTCCTTGGAAGCTCTGTCGGGGGCTCTGATCTGCAGGTTGGGTGGTCCCCGTCGGAAATGCCTTGGAGGCTTCTGGACAAAACAAGAGTCACTCCTGAAAGGGCGCACCTGCCGACGAGCTGCTGTCCTTTTCCGCCCGGGGCGCTCTCCGTGGCCAGACCCTGCCACGCGGAGTGCCGTGGGCCGGCTGTGCGGCTGTGCTGTCCCAGGGGAAGGTCTTTTCACTTCTCCTGCGATGTGCAGATTTGCGGGGAGCTCTGGGTACCCGGACGGAGGCTTTGCCGACGGGCGAGGACAGCCCGGGTCAGCGGGCCAGCCCCGGCCAGGACGTTTACAGACGTCAGACCCTAAGGGTGGCCAAGAAGGGGTAGAACCACCGTGTCCCCATGGGCGGAGCTGCAGAGAATGCTGTCGCTGGCCTGCGTCTAGGGCTCCCCAGCTTGG